GTAAGGTCCAGTCTCTTCGTGACGATGCATGGATGTTCCTAGAATTCTATACTTAACCGTATTTTTCGTACCTGACCGGTTGTCGAGGTTTATCTAGGTCGCACGTTTAGCGATTTATTTATGCTCCCAGTGACACTGAATCTCCTGGAAGTAGCCAGCCACTTCTTGAGAGGTTCGAAAACTTCGGGTTTGTCCCTCCTATTAAGATTCTAGCCAGATTCCTGAAAAGTTGGTTTGTCTACAGATAAGTCTCCATTCAGTCGACCTCCAGGCACTCTCATATTAGAGAGGTGAACAGGCGAGCTGTCCAAGAGTCGATCTTTTCCTGGCCAATAGCAGAACTGCATTTATTGCACTTAAACAAACCCAAGTTCAAAGCGCGGTGATACGTATTTGATAAGATTACCCAGTTCTGGTCCGCTTGCGTTCGTCAGCTCGTATCTCCTGCTTTCCGTCGCATTCAGACAACCGTTTTTGCAAGCAAATTTGGTTCGCCTTCTAAGGAATATCTGTCCACTTTTACGTAATCCATTTGCTGGGTTTTTGCGGCACACATTTCACTCAAGCTATCCTTCGCGGTGTAGTTCTGGCGAGCCTTTGTATTGCGATTCTGGAGGTATATCTGACACATTTGTGTTCGTTTAACCGCTTCGTAACCTCCTGGGGGTCGAGGTCTTTCGAGCCTAATGAACTGGTAATGGTAGGTGCCTATTCAAACACTGTCGGACTGTATCCTATTGGCAGCGCTGGTGTATTTCCCGCTGTCCAAGAATCGTGTGACATGCATAGGCTCTTGCGTTTTTGAGGTTGTGTGAGGATGCCTTTAGTTGCTTAACCACTAGCCCTGGTTTGCCAGTGAGCTGGCTCTAGCAAAGACCACTGGATCAATGCTGAAGACACTATTTTTCCGAAAAGGTTTCAAACTCCGTGTTTACTAGGTGAACTGGTTGGGAATACAATATCGTGCGTAATGAGATCTCAGGTGGTCTATTACTGATGTTTCCATGGGGCTGGTAAGATGAACATCTTCAAAAGTCAATATAGTAGCCAACCAGAACAGGGTAGAGCTTTTTAATGCATGTGAAAAGTCCGCTGTCAGTAGTTCCCGTGAGCGACTCGGAATTTATCGTACCAATATTAGTTCGTTCCTTTGCTTCATCTCGGAAGTTTGGCATGAAGTATATCTTGAGACATGATGCCTGATACGGCTGATCGTTCCGGGCCAGAAACCGAATACGCGGACCGTTCGGCAGCTGTAATTGACGCCATTATGCTCCAGGTAAACACTGAGAATCATCCCTCTTTTGAAGTCACTCGATATGCACAGCCAATCACCTTTGAATATCCAACTACTGTAGATCGCGAATAAGTGCGGATCTTTGAAGAAAATCTTGAGTTCTACTGGACAGTGCTCGTTTGTGGCTGACCAGTAGATTGTATCTCATAGTCGCTTGAACACTGGTCCCTCTCGACTACTCTTCTCGAGTGGGGCTCGTATCGACAGAACTAACTAGGTCGAGATCGTTTTGGGGGGAAAACTCTCCTCTTTATCCTAAAGTAACCGCCAAGTTTCATCAGCCTTTTCTGCATTTATACATCAAAATCTGCTATGGTTGAAACCATGTCAAATATCCTAGGAGCACCATGTCTTGATGCCCAAGTTCGACCTCTGTTTTTTCACTCGGTCAATAAAACGCATCGTTCATTGGTACGTGCTTGTGAGAAGGCCTCTCTGTTTCGCGTTGACATAAGGTGTAGTTATGAAGATAAGACATTCTTCATAAAGGCGATAGCTTGTGTTGTTCGCTAAGAGTTTCTTCCTGTCATTTTAAATGCTTGAAAGCCCTAAGCGAGGTGGATTTAACGTTATCGCACGTGCGTTCCCCAGAAAAAACCGTCCATAGAACCCTTCCACAAAGGGTGAAAATCGAGTGGCTCCTTAGTCGAATACTCAATTTTTTTTAAAAAACGAACATATGTGCTTTTATCTCATATTATTGTTTCCCCACTTGGTCCTATTTGAAATACGATTCCCGCACAATGGATAACCATCGGACTGCTACTAGGGTCCACAGCGTCCTCCGGTTACCTGGTGATGTTTACCTAATTGAAACGGACACTGCATGAGATCCGCCATGTTCTTCAAATCAGTCTTTGTTTACTTGCGAACCAATTTCCTGTGGCTGATTAGTTTCCGTACAAATATCTGCTGATAAGCCACTATTGTTAGGTTGGCTGCACCCACCCCCACGGAATTAAACATAAACCCAAACTAGCATATCCGTGTGTCTAGGCGATATGTCAAAAGCATCAGGCTTCCAAACTGGTTGAAATTAGCCCGGGTTGTCGATATTTTGGTTTTATTCAGGCTCATTTTGTCTGAATGACCGTTCTTGAACACAAAACCCATTTCGAGAAATACACTCATTTGCAAATCAATACGAGAGACTCATATAAACGAGAGATTGATTTGAGTCTTTCATGAAAACCAAATTGATTTGCAAATGAGTGTATTTCTCGAAATGGGTTTTGTGTTCAAGAACGGTCATTCAGACAAAATGAGCCTGAATAAAACCAACCGGTCGTGGGCTATCGAAGAGTTTTCAGCAACCTTGTGAGTAGTTTCCTTTACAAAACCCATTTGATAGCTGATATGAAAGTGGGGTTGTTCACTAAGACCAGAGAATGACCAGGCGGTTGAACTTCCGTGACATCACGTGACTTGGACGGGCGTTCGGAGACAGCACAATCAACTGTGTTTGCCACTGGGATTTAAGGGCGCGCCAACTGAGACGAGCATGACCAAAGTGGGTTCCATCAAACATGTGAAAGGTTCTGTGGCGTCACTGACTATTGACCATAGTGTCATACCCTCACTGTTTCACAACGTCTTTTCGACTCACCTGAACGGTTCGCACCTTACTACTCATAACGTGATCGTATGAAGGCTCGAATCTTTCAGCCCACAACTGAGCATTCCTCATCACCGTAAAGTTCACACCACATGACTTGTATCACGTTTTACACGGTATTGCACATAAGCCAGGTGACCACTCTTTCATGAGAAAAGTCAATCTGGCATCAAGGATGCGCACCGGTGAGTAGGAAAACATGGCTTCTGGACATCATCACCATTCGCCATCTCACACAACGAAAGAAAGACGGTCTCCCTTGGAGACGGTCGAACAGCATGGCCGAAATTTTTCACTCGATTCCAAGCAAATAGGTTGGCATGTTGTCCACTAGCTCATGGGACCGATACGACATGGTCCGTTTAAGGGAGGGGGTCTCTCTTTTCTGGGAGGACAAGTTGAAGGGTGACCTCCGTATTCGATCAATACTTGCTTTTCTCTTTTTTCCAGAATTTAACTTTTCCACCCTACCTCAATGCGTTGACAACTTCGAATGTGAACGGTGCGGGGCCTGCACCTTCGCAGTTTTCTGGCACCGGATCAGAATCGGTTGCCCCCGATGCTGGTGGTATCACACCACCAAAACGTACGGCTGTGGCGGATGTGAAGAGTGGTTTGCCTCTTTACATATCCAGAACAAATGGAAATCACACCAACGGGACGAGTAAACTGGACAGTCATGAAACGTCCACCAACTGTGTTATGGTACTCAATGGCGGACCGGTCGATTCCCTAAAAGAGACAACACCAAATGGTTCACCCGCGGGTACGCTTACGTTGCGGACGACCACAGGTAACAACTTGATCAATGCAACGGCGGCCACCATCTATGCACTCCAACATCCGCAGAATGCAACCATGCTAAATGTTCCTTCGCATCCACACCACCAACATCCGATGGCGGGGCCGCTGGCTGCAGTCTCACTGGCCGCAGTGGTCAACGGCAACATGGCGGGCAATGGTATGACTCCGGCGCATTTTCCCACCGTACCTGATCATACTGGTTACTTCCAGCCAGCTTGTAAGTTTGCTTCTGTCGTCCGATCAACGTGTTCGTATGTTTTGATTCCGTAGGCTGCCGCAGCTTTGTGAAAAAAGATACGAGGTGTACCAAGTTCGCCGTCTCCCGAACGGCTCAGTAGTATGTTTCGGCTGCTGTGTGATTCGGAAGAGAATCAGACCTGTACGCTATTCAAAAAGTCATAAACGAGGGATCCAGCTGGTCAAAACCGAATCGGTATGCAAATGAGTGTATTTTGCTAGAATCAGACCTGGTTCAGTTGTGCAGTCTGTGAGTAGATAACTCAAGAAAAGGAGGAAATCTAAGGATCTCTGGAAATCCACTTCAGTTCAGACCAATACCATCAGTAAATAAGCTGCACTCATGTAGTACAGGGAACACCGGAAAGGGAAATCCACGTATTGAGCACGGTGGTCTAGAAACTTCAAAGACGCCGAAAGTCCATTGTTCACACATCGATAAGTAGTCGGGGTGGCTACCCACAGAACCCAACCGTGGCATCTGGACTGCTCCTGTCTAGGCTTTGACAACCTGGTAGTATTTCGGCCTTCGTTCTTCCCTCTGATTGCGTGCAGGGAACACCGGAAAGGGAAATCCACGTATTGAGCACGGTGGTCTAGAAACTTCAAAGACGCCGAAAGTCCATTGTTCACACATCGATAAGTAGTCGGGGTGGCTACCCACAGAACCCAACCGTGGCATCTGGACTGCTCCTGTCTAGGCTTTGACAACCTGGTAGTATTTCGGCCTTCGTTCTTCCCTCTGATTGCGTGGCAGCTATGCACCGAGAGGGTGTTACATCCAAACGATTATTACTATTTTTATTTTTATACACATACGTATATATTCGCCCTGACACACAAGTTAAAATCAAGTTTATATCACTTTATGTTTCAGACCACATCGAAATACCACCCTATCCGTACCACTGATGGATTGAATTTTCGAAGCAAGCTCTTACAACAATTCACTTTGAACAAATTGGTTTTGATATTTACAATAAAAAAATCATTGTGGGAGGCGAAAACGACTCTAGTGTCTTACAGTCTCTTGAAAGTGATACTTCCCTACCTGTTTCCCCTATCACAACATACGCATGTTCTAACTAACTCATCCCAACCAAACCAAACCCAACCTTTTCCCCCGTCCCAACCATGTATTTACAGAGAGAACCATAAATTCACCTTGCCGGCCTTTATTCTGTCACGTATTTTTCAGTCTAATAATTTACTCTCTCCTGTTTCGGATTACTCAACCACACACACACACAGAAACACAACAATCAAGACAAAGTACTGTGGTCCTCACTTCATCATTTCCCTCTTTTTCCTATTCCTTGGACGTCGATTGAAATCGGCCGGCCTACCGATCGAGGCAATGCTGACCATTCTATCTTGCCGGTGAATTATATACCCTACATTTCAACTCATGAACCAGTCACGTAATTATTGTTCAAGAGATCAATAACTGCGTTCATTCATTTTTCTTAAGTTTGCACATTCGTTGTGGTTCGATCGTTCGCATGTGAATGTTCACTTGAATTGGCTAAAATCTATCGCCCCTAATCCATGAACTTCCCCGCTTCCAAGAAGACAGGGACGATGAAACAACACAAAAATAAGTCGAATTATTTTTTCAGGAAACCATCAGGACCACCATAAGCGCACTTCATTGGTCAGAGGTGGAGAATCACGTGATGCGATCTGAGAAGTGTGCGCGGATGTTTGATTTGATTCTTTTATATCACGCCGTCAAGTTGAAGAGTATCATGCCTGTTTGTCATTGTGATGACTTTCTGGCGACGGGGATGGAAGCCAGGCAACCAAACTAATCAGTGATTAAATATTCTCGAGTTTCACCGTCTCAAGAACAATTTCCGTACCTTTTAGTATACATTTTTTTGTTTGACTCTTCCTTTCTCGTTGGACAACAAAAAACGATTATCAATGGTCTAGATGTTTTTTAAATTCTCACCCTTCCACCGCCCTCTCCTCATCCACTTCCATCCGTATACGAAAAATAATTGTCCATCTACATACAAACTACTACTATTGATATGTTCTTGAGTAATTTCCACTGTTACGTTTTTATTGTTTCCCACTTCCATGCCCCTTCTCCGTCTCCAAACCACATCTTGGATGACTAGACACACACACACACACAGGACTCCTGTTGAAGGAGGCCATTTTTCTTTCATATCCCATAATTTTCTACGACTATGACAAGTACATCCCTCCCCCTCCGACGGATGTGAACTTCATACACACAAACATTTTCGAATATGAAGTCGACGTGCCTGAAACAAACGTGATTTGTGAGGAGCAAAAAAACCGTTTACATGTCTGTGTTCGACTTGGTCTTTGTTCCTGAATCACGACAGAGGAGGGCGGTTCTAGAGCCAACCCAGGTGAGTCGTCGTTGGTAGTGTGGCAGTCCAACCGGAAAGGCGGTCACTCCACCGACCGGGGTACATTAAAACTAGGTCACGTGGCTCTAATGTTCGTTCTGTAGGTTGTGCAGGCATTCGTGCAGACAAAAATGAGAAGATAAAACCATATCCTTCCTGTCGCTCTTCGTTGGAAAGATGCTTTCCAGACATGTCACAGTAAATATGGACGCTTCAAAAGTAGTATCGTCTCCCTGTCCGACGGGACTTCCACCGATACTCACCTCTGAATCTGCTACCATAAGGTCATGCACATCAGATCGTTTCGGTCACAAAGGTTACATAATTCAGTACCTATTCCGATGACAGTGGTTATCTTGTGGCCTCGATCAACGGCTTTAGTTGAGCGTTAACACCTGGACAACATGTTTCATTCACGCGATTTGGTCAAGAACCAGCTGATTCCTATTCAGCTGGCAATTTGTAGTAACTTGCCATTAATTATGGTCTACGACCGTGTGTTCCTGCCTCCAGTGATATCTGGAAGGCCTCCGGGGAAGTTCTGTTTCGTTTACGTCACAAAGTGCATAGTATCCATGGGAAGCAGAGGGCAGAAATCCCGAGGCAATTAACCAAAGTTATGCAAAAACGCCAGGCCCTGGTGAAAACAGTCAAGGAACAAAAGAGTGAGTATGCCAAAACATTTGTAACTGATCAGCTTGTTCAACTGTTGGTTGGGGTATATTCTTAAAAAGATTGCAGAAAGATTGGACGAATGATTCGTTATACAAATCGTTCAACTCTGGCGCCAACACCTGCGACCGGATAACCGGCTTCAGGTCACGCGCTTCAATTGACCCTCATAACCGGACGAATGTGTACCTCGTGACCAGTCAGCCGGTATTGGCCGGTCCGAATAGCACTAGAGATACTGTGAGTATCATTTTGCAGCTTTTGGCTCTTCGATTTTAATACTAATGAACAGGAAAATTTACCGCCATTTTGACACCCGAGTAGTTTTTAAATGGCGGTCCGGAATCCAGGATGATAAGTGAAATACGCTGCATACGAAAGAGAGTGATCCCTTCGTGAAGAAAACTACTCACAAGGTTGCTGAAAACTCTTCGACAGCCCACGACCGGTTTCGCCCTTCTTGGGGCTCATCAGGTAGGCGCAGTCGCCGAGTTTCCGCCAACTTTATGCTCTACTTGAACCCAAATTGGACTGATTTCGACAAATACGCTCATTTGCAAATCGATTTGGTTTTCACGAGAGACTCAACTGAATCTCTCGTTTATGCTATTCTACAACTGAATCTGCTGCCCACAGGCCGCCTCATGTTTCAGTTGGTACGATATTCGAGATGTCGCAGTATATTTTCATAAAGGTTGATAAAACTCCTCTACAGCCGCCTCTGAAACATGAGGCGGCCTTTGTGAAGAACATTCAGTTGGAGAGTATCATAAACGAGAGATTCAGTTGAGTCTACCGTGAAAACCGAATTGATTTCCAAATGAGTGTGTTTATCTAAGTACGTTGTCTCAACCTCAACAGAGAGCAGATTCAAGCACAAACTCAAGGAAGTTCACTTCACACGTGAGGTTGGTGGAAACTCGGGGACTGCGCCTATTTGATGAGCCCCAAGAAGGGCAAAACCGGTCGTGGGCTGTCGAAGGGTTCTCAGCAACTTTGTGAGTAGTTTGCTTCATGGAAATATATTGCGATACCTCGAATGTCGTGCCAACTGAAACATGAGGCGGCCTGTGTGCAGCACATTGTTGTAAAATATCATGAACGAGCGATTCAGTTCAGTCTCTCGTGAAAAGCAAATTGATTTGCAAATGAGTGTTTCTCGAAAAGCGTAATCCTTTGCTTCAATCACCACCCCACCCTGTTAAAGTGAGATTGGTTTACCCCGAAAAACACTGTACGGCTGTTTTATCCTTATTGGGACTTAGCAGCAGTGCGCATCGCCAGGGAGATTCAAACCCGCGTGACAGTTCAAAAGTAATTCGTTTGGCCACAAACGACGAATCAGCAAGCATAAGACCCATCACGGAATGCACATCATGAGCTGTTGGTTGGATCTTCGCGTGCCGAGATAAGCAACGTACAGCTGTTGCATTCTTATTGGGAAGCATCAACATTGCGCATCTCACGAAATTCAAAGGGGGTTCGGACCCGCGACCGGCCAGCTACTATTTCGATCACTTAACTAATCGTCCCCAAGCGCTTGGTCAGTAGTTCGACTGGCTGACTTGCCAATCGTCTTTCAACCACGGGATCCACACCAGTCGGTTATGTGTTGACTAGCTGCTCGAATGAAGACTTCTCAGATGGAGCTTTCACTCATCTTGAGGTTATGAACTACTTGTTGATTTGATAACTTCCATCGAAGCCAGTCTATGCAGAAAAGCCGATAAATGCTGTGCAACTATTTCGTTCAAGTTGGGAACCCAGTCTAAGGGCGTGTTGACCTCCGTTGTGATGAACTACTCTTGGTCGACCGGTTTAGTCTTCCACAGACACCAGATAGTTTAAAGATTTTAACTTTCTTAGTAGGAGTCATTACCAGTATGAATCTTTAAGGTTGAAACAGATGAGCAATGCTTTTCTGCTCTTGGATATCGACTAAATTCACTCATACGACGAAATCTGGATGAAAATTTCGGAAGCTGCTCGACGTCAGCAAGTGCTTCCATCCTGTGAGCGAAGTCGATTTATGCCAAAAAGCCGAGCAGTTTCGTTCTCATTGGGAATCATCGTGAAAATCTCCTTACACTATTAACGATATACGTAGCTCGGAGTAATTCATAGGTTTCGCGAGAACCTTTCTTCTAAATCCCTATTCGAGCAGCCAACCAACATGCGATCACGTGACTTCAATTTCGTGGATGAAGTATGAGTGGGCCTACATTCTGTCAGGATGGAATTTGACAGACCCTTGATCGGTCGTTCGTGGCCGAGTGGTTTGATCTTCAACTACCACCCGGGAGCTAACGAGTTCGAATCCCTCTGAAGGTCAGTGGTGATTCCTAGTGATTTCCAGTACGACTGCTTGAAACTGACCTCGAATGGGCATGTCTTGGCATTTCCCGGTACATTTGTGAACGTTCCAACAAAAATCGTTGTTTGTATGCTTGTTCATCTGGACTCAAAAGATGACTTAAATCTATGATGTGTTATTAGATAGAATAAAGAGGTGTTTCTTTTTCAAATACTAATGAAAAATTTATGTTTTAGGATAAATTAGTAAAAACAGCAAATGAGATCGATAAACCGGAAGTCAGGTTAATCACAGCGTTTTCACATCATCTGCCCCCTTATCCAATCGTCCCAAGATTGCTCGTTTGGGTTGGCACTCTGCACGTCATAAGTAGAATTTCATTCACTTGAAGAAGGCCATCCAACAAGGACGATACCTCGGGACTAGTTTGACCTCCGGTTTATTTAGAACATTGTGTTCTTACAACGCACTCTGTCCTAATGTTAGGCAGCACAATGCCCAACGTGTTCCATACCGACTCGATCTAGTTACGAACCGGAAGTTCTATCAGTTGCTGATAGTCAGGGCTAAATGTGCAAGCTAGGGGTAAGCTTGGCAAACCACGGTGTCATTAACCTCATTTACATCCAATCGTTCAGCTGTAGCGCCCTTTCGGTGCCTAGCTGCCATGCGACCCGAAGGAAGCATGAGGGCTGGGATACCGCCGAGTTGCCCAAGCCTAGAAAGAAGTCGAGTGCAGAGGTCCAGGTTTGAACCACGGACCTTCCGGTCAGTAAATTGGCGCTCTAACCACTGATCCATCTCGCCCACATACATTCAATCCAACTTGGCGTACCTCTGAGACCTAGTGTAGACTGCACAGTTCTCTCACGTATGTACTGTTCCAACAGTCGGTCTACCTTCTCAAGCTTCTCTAGAAGAGCACCGCACACAAACAATTAAAAAGCCCGTAGACCTGGCTAGTAGACTGAACAACACGTGTACCCATCCAGACGAATGTCTTGTTTCAGTCTCTCTTCTCTTATCAGAACCCGGCAGTCAATGTGTCTTGTGTACACTCTTAGAAAAAACCCAACTCCACCGGACTGTTACCCTTAACCATTGAAGAAAGGCCACCAAAAGCTACTAGACTTTGGATCTAATCCACATTTTCAATTTTCGAAGGGAACGCGACCAAAAAGCGACAGGATTGGCAATGGATTCCCCTAAATCTATTCATAATTATGTTTAAAACCTGTGATATCTCAGGAAGACTCTGATGCAGACATGTTAATGATTGACATTCTGGTGATCGTCAGATTAGGCGTTATTGGGGTTTCCTTCAGATAAATCAAATTTACATGGGAAGAAAAAACACAGCGCAGAAAGCTATTCCTTGGACTGCCTGATAAATCGAACAAACAGCCGCAACCGAGACAGAACAGTCCACGGGAAAGAAATTCGGTCACAGAGATAGCTGTATTGCAGCATCGACCCAGCATTCATTGTGAACTTCAGCTAATATGATGACGACGCAAAGCAGGAGACAAAATAACTCGGAAGTCTGTCTAGGAAGTGGAAGCAAGCTCGACACTGCGGTGAGTTACGGCGGATTCGCTCAGCAGTAACGACCGTTCGGTGCCCAGCTGTTACGTCGTTTGAAGGAAGCACAAGGGCCGAGATATTGCTAGGATGCTCAAGCCTACATACAGATGTGAGGTGCCGAGGTTCGTCTCGAACAACAGGCCTTCCGGTCAGTGACATCGCGCCTTAACCAACGACCTATATCGAGGCGAATTCCGCAGGGAGAGCAAACACAATCCAATTCGACACATCAACCGGCGCCAGGTGAAACTAGCTACATGTTCGAATCAAGGATCCTCGTGAGCCCAGAGGGCAGACGAAAAAGGTTGAAAATGTCAGCAACGTTTGGGCAGAAGATTTCCGACAAATCAGTTAACCTCCCGGACTCCCAACACTGTGGGAGGAATGCCTCAGAAGTATACAAGTGTACATTCTTACCAAATCGCCATCGAGCTATTGACATGTCCCAGGAACCAATCAACCAATTTGTCAATTTATCGCCAGACACTGCCAAAGTTTCTGACGATCAACAGAGTCAAAAACAGCTTTCAGGTCAAGAAAAACGATCAACATGGGGCGTTTGAAAACGTGGCACTGCTGAAAAAACCGTTCGAGGACGATGGTCGATTTCCCAGTTAGGAGCTACCTGGGAAAAGAAGACTGCCCGAATAACTAGGGCGAACCGATAGGTGCCAATCTTCGAAGAGGTACTCGCAAAGAATTGGCAACCAGTCTGACTGCCGTGGACTTCTTCGTCTTAGCGTGGAACGCGAAACCTTGACTTGGGAGCATCAAGCGGTACTTCGACCAAGTAGGGGCTACGTCGGTCACGATTAACACTGCATCAATTGTTAGATCAGTGCCATATATGCGGAGGAACCCTGCAGGATATGTAGAGTTCGTGCTGCTTGATTTCACAAGTACGTTGGGTTCAATCCGTCAATCTGCAAGTTCTAATCCCCCTGCTCAAAAGGAGACAGCTCAGAAGTTCTGGAACATTACACAAGGGTTTTGGAGTGTACAAGAGACTATCCAAAAGCTTTCTCACAAAACGTGGTGCATGGAATGGGTATTCCCTATCGTCATTTCTGATTTTGTCATCGACGAAACCACAAGGTAAACGCCGGGAGGCCTTCAAAGCCCTTGACTCCAAACTGCTATCGTCAAGAGCCTTGTCCATATGAAGGATACAGGCGACATCTTTCTGAGCTATGAAGATGAATAAGAACACAGGCACTGTTAGATAAACCAACCATCACCGTACCATCTTTCAACACTGCTTGCACTTTCAAAGCAACGCTTCAGAATGTTCGGTCTCTGAGCATACCAGTTTCAAACCAAGGGAGAGTTTCACGTACCTCGGTAGTTAGATCAGTCCCGATGAAGTGTGTCCGAAGAAGTCATTGTGCAAATCACATCTGCCAATTTGCCTCATCTTTGGCGTCAAAAAGATGTAGCATGTACCAGGTAGGCCTTTGTTGCTCTACACTTGCAAGACTTGGCCTGAGGCCGGTAAGTTGAGGTATCTTTGTGGTTGGCAACAGATGACAGCCGCTGGCATCAAAGAATTCATAACGTCGTCTACTGAGACGAATATTAACCTCCGTACCTTCTTCAGAATGGCACAAACCACAAGATGGAGAATTTGTGACTTGACAGAAGAGTGTGAGAGTTGGAATGCTGCTGGTGAAGTCCGGTTTCCATGGCGAAAAATCCTTGACCCTCTGTGCTTGGGTTGGGACGTTACAAAATATTACGACTACTTAGTTTTCATGACGCTTGTGCTGCCAGATATCCGGGCGGAGTTTTTAGAGGTGTAGGCACATCACAGTAACTTCGACAGGCTTGCAAAAGCCCACTTTCCTATCCGCCCTTCTCCCACTTTGGAACTTTGAAGATAACTGTGTTTTCTGCCATGAAGCGTCACTGTCAACGATGAAGTTGTTGGCTATGTGGAGGATGATTTGGAGACCTCCAACCGAACCCGTAATAGCGATAAATGATGTGAACATCATGAACGGGTCCTGTTACGCTAAGTCTAGACCATCGCCCATTGACAAAAGGAAGTGTCACTCACACAATGATCGATATGGCATTGGATAGTTATATCTTACGGCGTTCCCGACGAGAAACCAGAATATGGATTCCTACCAAAAAAGTATGATTACCAATGATTATGTTAAATGAGCTCCTTGATTTGTGAGTGCCTGAGTTGCGATGCCACAATAATGAGCCATAAAATGGCACGAATTTAAAGGGAGCCAATAACATCGAGGTAGATGAATCACTTCTGGGAAAGGAACTGAAAAAAAAACAAATCATAATGATCTTACGAATAACTTCGTATTTCAGCACACACCGCACAAGTTCGAGGGAAGGAAGCTCAAAAAAATGGTCAAAATGTGTCCAAACCCTACTCCAATTTGAAGATTATTTGATGAAAGTAAGTGAATAAGTTACAAAGTTGATGTGGGAGAAGGGGACAGTAAGTAAACAGTTTGTGTGAAAAGAAGTTTCCTTCTCATGTCAACACGTGTGATCACAGTGGTGGTATTGGGGCCGGTCAGACCAACTCGAACTCTGTTCCTAAAGGTGAATAAAGGGAAACGATTACGCGGACTGGACAGCACAGATCATGTAGAATGTAATCAGAAAAAGAGCCGGAACGCTTGAACTGTGACACCCTATGGCCTGCTTCGGTCAACAGGCTTTTCTGAGGATGTTGTGTCTACTGAAACGTAAGTCGGTAGTATGAAATATGAGAAAAACTACTGACCATGTGAGGCAGGCGGACGAGCTCAACCTCGTACCCTAAGTGTGCTCGTCGACCCGATCACACATGTATGAAGAAAATTCAGCTGCCCTTCACTGATTTACAACCGAAGGACGCTGAGGAATGTGGCTTAGCTGGAGTAGAGCTAGGGTGCAGTCTTCAGCCTCGTACGAGAAATATCTGAAGGGGCTGGTGCCTCGTATTGCACACTTTCTGCGCCGGAGAGATCTAAGTTCACTTGTATTCGGGTGTTTAGAGGACCGTTTGTGAAGGTGCAAAGAAATGTTTTGCCTCTTCTGTGGTGAATTTACCAGATATTCAATAATTTTGGGGATACATGCAGCATGTTACACAAGTAGGATGGTCGACGACCTGTGTGATTTAGGACGACTCGAATCAGAACTGCAGAAAAAGATGAATCCTCGCAAGGATGTATACTTATATAGCAATCAATAATAGCGGTGTCAATAAGGGACTCGTGCGTGACTCAATTCTACATGCCATCTGTATTACCTTCGATAATGACTGCAATATGATGTTCCAAGGACTGGCATTGTGTGCCTATTCCTGACCAAAAATTATGGTTCAAGTCAGTTGGATACGGATGAAAAGGCGTTCGAAGAGGTGGAACAATATGTGCGACGTCAGCTACTTAATGTGATAGTTAACCAAAAAAACTGCGTCAACGAAGTTGATCAATGGTTATCAGTAGATTAGATCAGTGCATTGATGTGGGCCAAGAAGACTGCCGGGTGTGTGGAAATCGAATAGACAGGGAGTAGGGCGCAGTTTTCATATCGTATGCTCCTTGTGGGTAGATCAGAAATGACCCAAACAACTGTAGGCAAAATCGAAAGTATCAGGAAGGTCAGATTCCTGAAAGCAACCTCAAAACGCTCGGAACCTACTGCTCCACCAAAAACTCAGCAGGAAAGCTGGCAAGCATCCAGGCCAGTCAGTCATGCAATCAACTCAGCAAAAGCTGATGAGTGTTCTTGCACTAACACAGAAGCACGACCGAATGTGATCAGCATTTAGACATTTCATTAACGCCTATCAGACAGCCTGGATCAATGTCGGAAAGTCCCCCTTAAATAGCGTGGGGCCATTGTAACTTTTGCTCTCGCACGCACTCACGCTCTCGCACTCGTTCGTTCGGAATATAGCGGTTGTGTTCCCTTCTGTGAGTCTTTTTTCACTGGCACTAGGCACTGGAGCGGGTTGGCAGCAGATATCACAGGTCGGTGAATCAGCAGATATAACAGAAAGTGAGAAACGGTTAATGTCCGGATGGCCTAAGACACTTGGAACCGTGAGCTCGAGACAGCTGAGTGGTTAAGGCGCGAACTAAACAACCGGAAGGGCTGTAGTTCGAACCCAAACTCTCTCTGAACACTATCTTGCCTGACATCAGCCTAATACCCAGAGGTTAGCGACTGACGTTAAATGATATGCACAGCGTCACGCGAAACAAGACCCCCTTGTTAGTCCGTAATCCACCCATATTTGTCGAGCGAGATCGTCGCCCAAAACGTATCTAGTGGGCTAAAACCGACAGTCATGAGAGCCGCGATATACATGTCGCTGGAGTGAAAAAAAAGCTGTTATGCAGTTGCATGATGATATAGTAACTTCGCTTGAACCAAGTAAGGCCCCGGTGAGACTAGGTTCAGCTTCAGCCAACCAGCTAAGTTTTTCAGCTCAAAAACTGTGCAGTGGTTCCAGCTGCCAAAGCTATGTTCACCGAGGATGAGAGAATGGGAGCCAAGTGTTGGAGGTGATGGCCCAATCTGTGCATTAACCACAACTGGATCTGTTCGTCCAGTATGGCATGACGTGAGAGCGACGAAATGAAGGCGATAGCTTTGATGCAACAGCGTCATTGGCTGAATGATGCAGCCATATCTGTCAGGGTCACTAGCAACTGGTGTGTCTTGTCCCGATTAGTACATGCATACATGGCTCTCAGACACCACAGATAAGCAAGGAAAATGCTCGAGTCAATAAAACGCTCGGTGTGTTTGACTGAAGAAACATCTAGAAAACGCGGTTACTCAATAAAACGCTCGGTGTGTTTGACTGAACATGCCAACATGCCAACCACCAAGTCAAGCTACCGAAAATCAGCCCATAATTTGAAGTGCTTCCGAAGGGCCTAAGCAAATCCAACTCAGTCCCGAAGGAGTAACGAAGAGGTACTGATGACATCCTGATACGGAACCCTGACTCATGCGGAGGTTAAACTATTTCGAATAGTAAAAGGAAGGGTCGGGTTCGAATGTCTACCATGGCTGAACGGTCGAACTGACTGCCAAAGACGTACGGGTTATCTGGGCATCCTATTCGAGGCCAGTCTCATGATGTGAATACTCGGGTGTCATGGTAGAGCAGGTTAGAACAGGCAAAGCACACGGAGGACCAACCATGGACAGATAGTCTGGTGCACTTACAAGGACACTCATGCAAGCAAACGGCCAGCATGGCAAGGTGTAAAAACAGTGGAAATCGATTAGCACACACAGGTGAGTGAATGTGGGGTGGGGCATCAAGTTGTCAAATCAGTCAACGGGTGGTTACTTACTCTGGGTGTCCTCACTCTACCGTCCACACCCAACAGACAGAAAGAACTTATGCATAAGAATTCATGTTAATTGCGGTAGTAAGTTTGTGGAATGATGTGCCTAGATGTGTTTGATCACGGCTTAGGTTCTGCAGAATCCGCAGCAGTACGGCGGATTCGCTGCTATTCAACTTCAGACAGACGTGAACTTAGAAAGGGGAGTAGGTCACAAGAGACAGTCATCGTAAAGTGGGGTAAATAAAGAAATAGATGGTTTGGACACTGTATAAGCACAGGCAGCAAGACAAACAGTGGATGGACTTGTGGCAGTGTCGGATGGAATTCCAAGACAAGTCAGTTCACATACAGCGAAAACAGGAGCAAGCTGTCGCGAATCAGAAGACTGCAGAGGATAGTTATGAACAATCAACAGAGCTATCATTCAATGCGAAGCGACAATGAACTTACAAAACAGGCAAAATGGGAGAGGATTATATCGTGCTGTGGGATGCCGCAATTCAAAATCCACATTATGTAGTGTATGCCGCCGTTACGTCCAAAGGAAAATGAGTGAAAAATGAGCGACAGGCGAACGGAACGACCTTGGACGCATGCTCAGTTGAGCGATCCTGGTCACACGGTTCAAGGGGGGAAGAACTCACACCCTGGTCAAGTTAAATTATGACCTTCATGACCAACTTGACCTCTACACAAGTACCCGATGACAAGCGTGAAAAATGGGGAACAGACACACACACAGAGACCAGTTGGTGATAACCACGAGACGCAGGCATTCAACCGTCTGTTGTGTTCATAGCCGATCACGATCTGCATTAGATGGAATGAAGATATGGAAGAGACAGTATGCAGAAAAACCTGTTTGCTCAGCAGTAAGCTGAGATGAAATAAAGCCCGATTCCTCACAGGAAACAACCGGTTCATCGGATAGAAGCTTCGGCTAATGGACCTTTTGGTGGACTTTTCGCAGTAGTGAAGCACGCAGGACCAAACGACCATCAACACAAAGTGAAAACCTGGGAGTAGGATGAGTGCGTCGAGCAGAACAACCAACCACATCGGGAATGTACCATCATACACATTTGTGAGACAAGCAACTATGGGATATGACTCGACCGTCAGAGGGGGGAGGAATAAAATGACCAGTTCGCGGAAGGAATTCGTGATGTAATACGGTTGTCTGTTCGACTGAAATTCAGCGAACATTCTTGGTAAATGAAATCCTCGTCAGTCAAGTGGAAGGTGAGTATTGCATTTTAAAAGTGCACACACACTCGCCAAGACGTGGACCAGGTTCGAACCAGAGCTAGTTGAGTTTGAACCAAGAAATATCAAACAGTGTTCAAGCACAATTCCGAATGGACACCTGGTAAATGTATACTGTAATAATTCGTTACCTAAACTGACTCACCAGAATTCGCCAATGGGCCACCAAGGTTGGTCAAAGAACGAACCGTTTCTTCCGCTACTTGATTACATTTGGACCACAGGACCCGTACTGCATTCATGGCCCCGCCAATCTTGCTGGGATCTGACTGTGTGGGCGACGGAGGATTGCTCGCATCACCCTCATCAGTCTCTTCTTTGACCGACGTGTCAGATGCTCTTTCGGATCGTGAGTTGAACAATAACATAGGTAACGGAGGCAAATTGGAAGGCCTAGACTTGTGTACTTCAAACAGTGGATGTCCACGAGTTGTTTCCACACTAAGTACATCCCGTTCCAAATGTGCACACAGCTGATCGAATTCGTCTTCGGTCGTGCACACAAAACCAATGACCATGCTTGGATCAAGTCGCTCCAGAGGAAGACGGACAGGACAGTCACAGTGGTGAGTGACATCATCTTCGGCAGTGAGGTCATCCTGACTGGCCGGTTGAGTTGTGTGAGGATCGAGGCACAGTAGATCCTCATCGCCAGCTGTACCTACTATCCAGACTGCATGACTCGGTCGACCTCCCATAATTCCTATTGAGTGTGGAATTTGGAGTATAGCCTGAAATGAAAAGAAAAGGGGTGACTGTGTTGAAGGGATCAGAGAGTTGAATGGGATCTAAAAAAAAAGGTGTTCACAGTAGGCTCGCATTAAACACCTGGAACTGGACTGACAAAAACCGATTTATCAAGTAGGAAATCCATTGTTCAATCCAGAAGAGAAGTTGACAAACATTGAGGTTTTCGTGAGCTACTCTACTACCAAGTAGGGATACTAAATGTACACTGTTACGTTATGTTGCGCCCCTACAAATGTATTCAGAGGTCAGTACTGTGGACATATCTGTCACGAACCGAATCCCAAAATGTACAAACTGTTTCGCTGAAACTCGCCCACTCAGGGTAGCACTGCCCTCAACAGGCAAAAAGATGTTGAACTTCCTGGTCCCCGTGCCATCCATGAAGTCGAGCAATGGAGCATGAACTGGACAAAGATACGCCTTGATCTTGTTGACTAAGATTGCTCATAAGCAATCGCAATTCGGCACGACTTCGAAGCCAATTCGTCGTAGATTAATCATCCAGGTATGCATTTCTACCTTGGCTTCTTGAGTAAAGCTCAACGAAATCACTAGTAATCGCTATAGCACACATAAGGCAGGCAAGGCTGTAGGATAGCAGTATGGTACACTTCCTCCAAGTTACGGTTACCAAGCTTCCTGGTTAAAAACATCAATTTGGAATAAAATTCCGGGATCCACTGGGCCGCGCCAGATTCTCCAGAAAAGTAAGACTACTTGTCCTGAATTAGTTGACCACAATCAGAATTCCCGGTACGGAAAAGTTCTGCCTATCAACGGAGAGTCAATGTTTTCTTTTCCTCTCAGGTGATAATTGATGGGGTCTTTGAACAACCAGAATGATATGGACCAACACCCTAATGATCGCGTGGTTGTCTGGACCAACCTTGACGAAGGCAGTATCACGGGCTGATATACCTGTATTTTGATCCGAAGAGCTGATTGGTTTGAAATCGGATCGTACACTTGATAGTGCTCAGAATAAACCCTCGAAGACATACATACTGCAGTGGTTCATTTAGGAGTCATAAAAACAAAAAGACAAAGCAAATGAATGGTTTCCGACAAATTCACTTGCGAAAATATCATACATGAAAACAAATGAGATCGTTCGGCTGTAGAATCTCCTTTCGACGCCAAGCTGCCATGCTACCCGAAGGAAGCAAGAGGGATGGGACACTGCCAAGTTGCCCAAGCCTAGACAGTAGAAGTCGAGATGCAGAGGTCGGGCTCGGACCACGGACCTTCCGGTCAGTAAATTCACGCTAACAACCGAGCCATTTCGCTCCCACCAAAACAAATAAGTGCGTCTGAATGAGTAAGCCGGCAGGAAAATGTTGTCTCTTTCAAAGCTAGCATCCAACGGCGACCGGAAGGGACCGGAAGACCGTATGCAAGCGCCCATGGGACCAAACTCGGGTTGCCGGAATACCGACATACGAGCCTACCAACTCGATCACGCCGAATGGATTTTGAATGAAGTCAATCGGATCCATGCGAACTTTGTTCAAACTATTCTTCAAATCAGATCAGAGTCTGGGGAACAAAGTAAATTGTGGCACATGTTGGAAGCAGAGAATCGTATGATAGTTTTTACCCAATCCATGGTGCACAAGGAGTCAGAAAAGAGGGAAGTCATCGACTTTTTTGAGACAGAGTACATCTGCCGGGTTGTGATGAAACCAATGATAAAATTTCATCACCAGAGGAGACGTGGATGTCGATGAGTCGAGGGGTGAAAAAGCACCAAGAAAAGGCAAGAGCAACGAAAAATTTCCATGTTGAAGAGCCCAGATTTAAGAAATCATGGAGGAAAACGGGAAATGCGTGCACATTGCACCATTCAATTTTCGCTGACCTGGCTGACGTTCGAGCACAATTGGAAACGTCAAAAACTGAAACAGGTCTTGAATTCTGTCGAAGTGTGCGGGAATCGATATTTTGCTGATGACTGCGGTTAATTAGTGGTCAAAACCGACACACTACGAGGATGAAGCTGACGACCAGCTGTCTACGATGTTTTACATATAAAATAGTTTACTACTCACCTCAAAACCCAGTAATATTAAGTGTACGTTCATCCCTTTTTTGCAGCCGAATGTACTAGTTGTTGTCAATAACCCTCATCAAGAGAGAAGGACAGATAGAGCAGAGGTAGAATCATACATCGTGACCTTGAAAGAAAGGAAAGCGAGGCCTTACAATGCACTATAGAATGCGAAACCCAAAATCCGTTTCCAAGCCAACTGGATGAAAAATGAGACCTGAGAAGCGAGTGAGTTGGTCAGAAATGAAGGGATTCTAGGGTACCGGACAGATGTAGAACAGCACCACACGTGTTTACGCAACCAGGAGACCAAGAGATCCGCAAAACACACCGGGGGAACAGGGAGCTCACCTTGATTGCATTGAAATAACAAGGATTGGGTTGATGCAGACCCAATCGGAGCGGGATAAATAAGAGTAAGGGACGCCAGGTGGCTGGCGACGGGGCGGCCTCAGTCTCAGTGGCCTGAAGACGATCGCTTTCTGGTGGGGGTGACCGTTCTAGTGAAGATCGGACGGCAGGAACAGCGGGAGGAGTGATCGGTGGATGATCAGAATCATGTTCAGAATCGTAGGTGGGAGGGAGAACAATCTCCAAGAAATCTTCATCCAATATTCGAGTGACTGGACTATTTACGTGAGGAGGAGGGCTGTAAAGAGATGGAAGGTCAATGCGAGTTGATACATAGATATGGTGGAGATAGGTAAAACAACCTAGCTTATCAGCCTTAAATATTACTCTAAATACGTGCAGAAAAGTACCATAGGTACAGAACTGGTCATTCCTCGTCAAGGAGTGCTAATTCGAGGTGCCCACGGAATGGACGACGATGGAGATCCTAGTGCGCTTAGTCAACAGTGGCAATTATTTCGATTACTGAGTACTGCGAGTAGACGGAAAGGTTGAGTGTTTTAGAAAGACACAGTGATACGCTACACATCAACCAAAGCACTCTTCGTTTCGACCCTATTGATAAACTCCTGAGGCGTGTAAAGTAAAAAAAACGGCGAGAATGTCTTCTCAGTTAGGCAACCTGACGAGATCTGTAGCGACCCAGTCACCCACATACTTGACTGTTCAACTACAGCAGCTCCAATCATGTGCCGACGCGCCCACTTATACTCACTGAGACCTACATAAAGGGAAACCGAACCCAGTCAGGACACACAGACTCGCGCGCGCGCAGGGAGCAGGACGTCAACCTCTCCACAAGTCCACGGACAACCATGGAGTACGTGTAGCAGTCTAACTGCGGAGAAAAACACGTTCCCGCCGTCCGGACTTCCACCAAGGGACTCTCATATACGATAAGTTCCCTCTTTCACTTGCTCCAATTTCACATTGTATTTATTTTTATACGTGTCGCAGAAATACTAAAAGCTTTTATTAGTGCACATTCACCTTCTGATCTGTATTATGGCTATCAGCATCTGTGCACTAATAGATCCCAGCCCTGGTACCTTGTTCGAGCGTCAAGGCTGGAATGCAGCAAAAGAGTGAAACCACCGGTTGATTATTTGTTCTTCTACAACTGAGCTACTGAACGTTGTGAAACGGAAACTAAGAAGCATTGTCTATGAAATTCAGCAGATGCACAGTGAATTGATCTGTGTGGAGGTCGTCAGTTTGACCGGTTTAGTTCACGCGCTTGTTTACCAGAGGAATTGACTAGTGAATACGCAGACACTTGAGCCCAAGTTCTCATGATCCTCACGGACGACTTGGTCATTACTGAGCCATTTGATTGTTGAAAACCGATAAGTGTGACGCATGACCCATGAATGTTCTTGGACGACATGGCCGGATGCGTGACTGAAAGCCCTCCCAGTAGGACGGCATCCTCAGATGATCTCAACTACTTGTGGTACCCGATTTCCGCTATCTGGTGTTTTCGTGTCAGTTACTTCAAAGGATACGCTGGTTAGTTCGGAATTTGTAGGCCCACGGCGTGTGTGGCATATAAAATCGTTTCACTCTAAACATTGGTGGTGCAGAATTGTGTCAGAATTGTGCTTCGCTTCATAGCTTCGTCACGTGGTGTGCGCTTGTGTGCGCTTACGGGTTGTTTATCTACCCTCCAAGGTTGGTAATCGGGATGCAAACGTTTCGTCATCACTCGAGAAAGACGTCATCGGTATGTAGTCGGAGGCTTTGGAAGCACATGGTGACGATCGCCTTAGTCTTCAGGATCAGCATCAACATTATCACCAACGTCAGTTAGGACCGGAAGCGGCACTAAAAATCTATTCGGACAGCACAGTCTGATACAAATTGTCTCCCACTCTTACACCAGGTTACGACAGGCTGATGTAGAAAAACAGTCGATGGCATGGTCTGATGAAACACAACAAACAAGGTCACATGACCGCTATGTTTCCGAATCTCAGTCAGCCTGAGGTCAACCGATGGGGATAGAGTGAAGAAAATTTTTTCTAAAAAAAAGTAGGCGTGGGCAAGCGGAAGAAGGTACACCCATAGTGAAATGATGAATTGACCCAATCTAATGTTGCCAAATTTCTGGGTGAAACAATCCGTTAGCGCAGTAGTCACCCAAACGGAGAAGCCTTGTCAAAAGGAGCGACTTTTGGTTGTTTTGTAGAGCAGGTTCCGGAGAGAGTGCTTCCCCAACGAACAATGTAATAGGTAATATTTTGGTCCAACTTCCAAGGAATACAAGATGAAAACATGACTGAACTGAATGGTTGCTCCTGAATCATGGGCAAAACAGAAGTTTTGACGAAACGGTTGCGCACGCATTCGACAAAGCCGCTACCTGACTACAGAGTACAGTACATGCCTTCAGGAGTGGCCAACACGGTTTGCTCTCCTCTTAAAAGGCACCCACAACAAGTCGCCTCCATTTATTGACGAAAATTCGGATGTTTGAAAGCACCTTTAACAGCTGTTGCCATAATCGAATGGAATGACACAGGAGTCCCCAAATACTTTACTCTACCGCTCCCTTTCTCTAACTTCTACGAACAGAGTTTTCGCGTCCACTGCAATTTTTTGTGTGAATCATTGGAGATACTGCATTTTAGTACATCATTTCGAATAATTTAATGTAGGTTCCTGGTAGGACCTAATCGAATATTTTCCACGCCAGTGAAGAGAAGGATCTGAGAGTACAGAGAAGGCGAACTGGTAGAAGCAAGAAAATGCCCATGAGGTATCCGATGAAGCAAACTAATGCCAAAATTCAACGTAACGTATAAGCGGACAGGTGTGTGCGAGAAAGCTACCCTTCGACTATCCATTTACGGCAGAAATAGGATATTTCCGTCTCGAGGGGTTCCAGAATGTTCATTCAACGGACACGACTCGCTCATAAACAGACGATCAATGAAAACTGAATCAAATGCTTCTAGTGTTGGGGAGGGGACGAACTCCCCTTGAGAGTTCGATTTCGGCCTCAACATTCCGTCTCAAACTACTGTCTCATCATAATCATCGACAGCATGACATCAGTGCTCAACACCGATGCTTCGCTGCCGTACAATCATAATTTATTTGAAAGCCTTATTGTAAACAAAAGAATAAAGGTGAATGGGGAAGCGAGTTACTGCTAGCATACTACAATCATTCCGAGGTGTCTACACATTCAAACACTCATTCAGGCGATCTGGATAGAAACAGACAACAAGATCGCCACTGACATCGGTTGGCAACCATATCTTGTGGTGTCTCCAACCAGGCGCAGTGAGGATCACGTGTTGCCCATCCTGGAGGGCGAGTAGCGCCGACAGCACCCAAGCGTTTCGTGATCTCCTTCATACTCCTCTGCCAAGTCAAGGGTTGGCCATGTCTCTGCTTCCGCCACTCCGAATTGGGCATGGAAAACGGCAAACGATGGTTCGACATAAGCAACACATGTCCACGATTTACACGACACGCGGAAAGTGCACGGTGGTCACAGGCCACGGTGATTCGGGTCAATGGGAAGTGGTGACTTTGCTCCTAGTTCAACCAAGCTGCACGAAACTCCATAGACAGTTCACCTCCGAAATGTCCTTCTTAACAGTGCCGGGAATGTTGTTCGGGGGCCAGCCGTCCCTAATAACCGAACATCACATCATTTGGACGGATGTGTCACGTGCAGGACACGGGCCAGACGAAGGTATACCCTGATTGGTCAGCATGCCAGCCAATCCGAGTCAAGCACCTTTGACTCGACGCTTCTCGCCCCCTCACGGACATTCTGGCACGACTTGTGGAACACTCTGTGACTACCCTATATATACAGTTGTAATGATTTTCCTTTGTCTCCATAAGGGGCTGTGTAGAGCTCCCGTGCCTTTTGATATACCGTAGTGGGCGGAGCAGGAAGCCAAGGGACCGATACAAAGTTGCACGGTCGTAGCACAAGTTACAACAAATGTCAAGTCAAAAGCCCCAGTGATGTGACCGGTTGGTGTACCATCGGGGTTTGTCGCGAAAATGACGTGATAATTTTGAGTTAGTGGCATAAGTTGGTAGTTCCCTTGTGCTGTCTCCTCTTGAGAAGTGGAGTAGCCAGTTTAGAAGAAAGCAGAAATCGTCTTCGAGAAATATCCAAATCAATTTGGTTCTCACGAGACTCAACTGAATCTCTCGTTTACGACATTCCACAACTGGATGTGCTGCACACAGGCCGCCTCATGTTTCAGTTGGCACGCTATTCGAGATATCGCAGTATATTTTCATAAAGGAAACTACTCACAAGACGAGGCTGCCAAAGAGTTTTCAGCAACCTTGTGAGTAGTTTCCTTTATGAAAAAAAGAAATCGTCTTGTCTTCTTCGAGGTCCTTGAGGAAGTACAGAACTCTGTGGACTTTTAAACCTATAGGAAGGCGGTCGAGGAACAAGGGGATACCCAAGTAATCACGTATTTATTACGTGTTTTCCGTTGGTGATGAGATATCTGCAAACCAACTGCCATGCTCGGTGAATATCGAACACCAGCGGACGTGCCTGAACCGCAATTATTTCAACACGTAACGATGGTATAGATTCGTTACATACGGAGATTAGTGCAGAAAAAACGCTTCAACTATAAACAAATGTGGTAAATCAGTGGTACTGAGAAAAACATCGACGTGAAGGACGGCGGCAAACCCACTCGAGTAGCTCAGGGTCTTCGGCAAACCGAGCCTTTACCGCTTCCAAATCCCAGTCGCTACCGACACCACCTTCAGCCGGAGGGGTTCCAGGAGTAGGTAGGCCGTGTGCGGAATCCGACGAAGGATGTAGGATAAACGCCTTAGGGTTTTGGCATCGAGCTTCTGAAAGATCATGGGGGAAAAGATCAATAAATTAAAGTTTGTTGCGGAAACTGGCGGTACAATTATCCTAAAGTAAACTTTCGGGTATGTTGACAATAACAATAATAATAGTAATAGCAATAACAGTAATCGTCCAGCTGTGAAACCACGCCACCCAAGACTAGACAGGAGCAGTCGTGATGCAGAGATGGGGTTCGAACCCCGGACCTTCTAGTCACTAAGCCCCCACCTTCACCACTGAGCTATCTCGACCCTGATAGGTTCACTGAAATGCAGTGATGTTGACTGACACTTGGGTGGATGCGCTCAGAGTTCTAGTGTGATTCTACATAGGTAGTCGCTAGTAACCTGAGTTAGGAATACATGAGTTAGATGTTGTCAGTTCGGACGAGGAACGAGATGGCTCAGTGGTTAGAGAGCGAATTTACCGACCAGAAGGTCCGTGGTTCAAACCCGGCCTCTGCATCTCGACTTCCCCTATCTGGGCTTAGGCAACCTGGCAGTATTCCAGCTTTCGTGCTTCCTTCGGGAAGCATGGTAGCTACGAACCAAAAGGGTGCTACAGCTGAACGAGTTTGGACCGATGTCAATTATTTGTGAATATTGTTTTGTAACTAGTAGACGCGGTGATGAATCAACTGAATCACAACGACAAGGTAACTTCTATAGGTTGGAATATACTATAAATAACCAAGCCAACGAACAGATCGAAATGGATCGTCTCATCTGCTGTCAAACAATGGAAGCCGAAAACTACTAATCGCGGTTGAACAATCACCAACTGCGTGCACAGATGTTGGAGTAATCTACGTCGATCGTTTTGAACCAGTGATGGTCACCATTTGCCAAAAAATGCATACAGAATGTCCACCATTCATGTGGACACCAACGTCTCTTGCATTATCCAAACGTATTCGAACGTATACCTGATTGGCTACTCCATCTGTCCAGTTCAATGAGGGTCTAAAACTTTGTCACGCCAGGCTTTGATGTACTTAGAAGCATACAGAGGCATGGCCATTTTGTGCTTCAATCTCTAGCTATGCCACCCAACAGCGCCTTGCGGACGGGTACCGAAGCGGACTGCGGCCACCTGTAACCTAGAGCGTGGAATCCTTTCGCGCGTATGTTCGATTTGTTTCTGAAATTGGCCGACGGCTGTTGAGTACTCCAGCTATTAATCAGTCATGGAGGATGGGTTAGCGGCCACATGTGTTTCGATGAACGCGTACTCACGAAAGAAAAAACGGAAACATGGCATTCGAAAGGCGGTAGATATGTGAAAAAGCTCCAGCGATTCGATTTCGAGATTGTCGAATCCGGCGAAATACACGTGATAATGACACATATCGACCGTACGAACCCAACTACTAGTGTAGAGTAGTGAAAAGCAGGCCACGTGACTGTACTAAGTTGGTCCATAAGTGACTTGGAAAGTGCATGCACAGTTCAATGCAGTTCATCTGAGTAAATCGATTGCCGATGCTGAAATCTACTCGGTAAACTTACTGTTTGGGAGAAATACACAATCGGATTCAAGAAGTACATTGTTGACTTGTTTGCAAGACTTTGTAACAGTTCCGTACACGATTTGAGAATAACATCACCAATCTACTGGTGAGTAGTGATGGAGCGTTTGTTGCGCAACTGTCAAGTTCGTGAGGCAATCAGTGCACATTCGAACTACCATTTTTCTGTGACGCAACAAATAGCCCGGAAATAGGTAGAATCAATCATATCCTAAACCATACTTTGAGTCTAGGAATTACTTTGAGACGAGGGGACTCATTACCATGAAGGGTAAGAAGGCATAGTTTGGGCAAACGGTCATGTTGGATCACCGAAACATAGGAATTAGCGATGCAACAAACCTAAGCAAATGGAGGTAGAACAAAACAGAGACAGGAACTTACTGATCTCATCTACAATGACTCCATCTTCCACTGAGATATGTACATACCAATTTGTGCATGGGTCGTAGGCACAAAGTTTTCTGCGTGAAACACATGAAAGCAAAGAAGGAAGTCATCGACAGTTGCTAATTGGTTGATCAAAAAACGAACTGCTCAATTCTGTACGAGTAAATAGAAATCTTTTGGGAGTGCCAATCAAACCCAAAGCTGTCGTAGAGTGATAGTTTTCCGTTCAGCTTGACTGCGAAACGATCAGTCTAGTTGGTAGAAACAAAAGACAGATCTATGGAGTCCAAGCACACAAGGGATGCGGAGTGAAGCCAATGATCTGCTTGACTCGCGAGGTCCGGACCACCACGTATACAGGACAGAAGCGTGGTAGCGAACTCCGAGCGCACCTGGTCGGTCAGCCGGAGGTTGGTGTTTCAAATCTACCCATAGAAGTAATCTTTCTGTTCATATCACGCGCGCTTGGGTTTACTCACTTCAAAATAGACTGGACGACGTGATAACCGCTGCGGTTGGGCACTCGTGCCTGGTACTGTGTCCAGCCACAAACACATGTCGCGATGCGCCATAGCATGAAACGGTCAGAATGACTTGACAACAAGATGCTTCAGTTCACTGAAAGCTGCCTACCTAATTCGAATGGTCCATGTAAGTAAGTAAACTTGAACCAAGGCAATCTCCCAAAAAAGTTCGCACAATGTCATCTCCTTTAAGCGGACATGTAAGAAATGATATCCCGGTCGGGGAGCAAAAAAATCCGCTTACTTTATCACTTGAGCCACAGTGTTTGGACCGAACCAACTTCCGATCGGTTTATCCAAAGCCATTCCAAGCATGGCTAAAATCAAAAAATAAGACGTACGAAGGTGTACGGACCAGTACAGTACACGGAAACCAAGAAGTGCACGAGGAGAGTCTAAATGAATGAAGCTGACAACAAAGGCGATTATACTGACTCGAGAATTTTTAGGGAAAGGAGGATTGAAAGTGTGATGGGGCGGATGAAGGCAGAGCCATAAAAAATAGGCTACTACGCAGCTGTGTAAGAGGGAACGCATCTAGGTTCAGTTGCGGCATCATTACTAGGTGGTCCGCGGTCCAAGACCCCCTCCTGGATTCCCCACTGTTCTTGCCACGTTTGTGGCAATTACAGCCATCAAGTTTCCTGCATTCCAGGCACCACACAGAAGGGAACTGGCCATGAATGTCTCAATGAAGAGTCTGGATTTCATGGTACAATGGAGTCAATCTAAGCTGAAAAACGGAAAAGCATAGTATGAATGGTTACCTCCTACCAGGGATTGTCATCACGAAACCTTAGGAAGATTTGAGCCCAAAATCAACGGTTCACCGTCCAGTCGTGCATAGGCTACTGGCTCACGTTTGAAACGTGGTCTGATTCCCCGGAGTGGTATGTTACATCAGATGCCTACGAGAATTGCTGGATAGCTTTCTTTCTCAGTAGAATACACTTATTGCTGGTGGCGGAGTGATTTCGATGTTTGAAATCAGCATTTCATCTTCGCAAGTGAAGCCACACAGTGTTAAAACACGACCAGTGGAGGAGCCAGCCATCATGTGACGTGGATCACGTGATCCAAGGATGAGTGGCGCCATATTCAGTCCACGTAAGCGTCCATAGATGGATGGAATTGTTCAACTGTTCAGCGGAACGGTTTTGTATCGAAATCTTCATGGGGCTGCACAGTACAGGGATCGCTGGTGAATCCCAAAGCAGCAACACGGTGAATTTCAACTGATACCCTAAAACCTGCTCGTTACTCACAAACTAGAAGTAATCTGTCCAGAAAGGCGGAAATTGCAGTTGAATGGGTTTTGAATCCATCATCATAGGAGCCAGTCAACACAGGATCGCGTGAGGTTGACTGAGTGAATGAAGTATGATGGTAATATAACCCGCCCAAGTCTACTACTGATCAGCCACTTGTGATTGAATGTTATATTTTTTAACTACTAACCGAAAGGTCACGGGTTCGAACATCCTTAGACATCCGTCGAGGATTGAACAACCGCACAGTGTTGCTCAGTCTTTCAGTGTAATTGACCTCTTTTCGAGGGGTCCATTAATGGAAGCACTGTAATAGGGTTTTCAAATGCGTGCATATCCAAATCGCGGCTAAAAACGTATTCCTGAGTTGGTTCCGATGATCCGAAAGAGGAACTTTCCGTGTAGCCTCAGAAAAAACAAGCGTTGACGTTTTGTTCCTTCGGCACTTCCGACACATAGATAGTCCTAAATAGCCGCTGAAGAGATTCTGATTTCAAAAGGCCATTTTCAGTTAAGTCTGTTCAACTAGCAAAGACGTTCGTGAAGGATGGGCGAGACGGCTCAAGTGGTTAGAGCGCGATTTTACTGACCACAAGATCCGTGGTTCGAACCCGATCTCTGCCTCTCGACTTCCCCTGTCTAGGCTTGGGCAGTATCTCAGCCCTCGTGCCTCCTTCGGGTGGCACGGCAGCTAGGCACCGGAAGGGTGTTGCAGCTGAACGACTCTTCTTGAAGGATACATGGGGTATATAACCTCAGCGGTTAGTTGGGCTACAACTTATGACATAAAACGTATGACTATGGAAAAAACGTCATTCCATTTTATTCAGAATATAAGCGATAAGAACAGTGGGAAACGGACTTACTGATATTCTGAATAGAGTAGAGAGAACTCTTGTGATCTTGAAACATTCGCCGAAGACGGCAGTAGGCTTCATCTTGACAGCCGGGCGTCCAACGCCAATCTACGGGAAAATAGAGGTTACCACGAAATATTATTCGGAGGAGAAAAATGTACAGTATATGCTAGCGGAACTGAAATGATAGATTAGGCTACAAAACTGAAACCAAACAGGCATGCTTAACAGTAGTTACCCAGTGCATCTGTTTGCGAACAACCGTGGTTTTTCTCGCTCTAAAGTTAACCGGTGACCCAACGAAATCCAACCAATACGGGTGGATATCGGTGGTGGGACGTCCAGCAAGCAAACGCTGCGACAACACGGATTGGTTGGTGTGCCATCATTTTGTAGGAACCCGGAGCGAAATTGAGACCAGATTGCATCAACCGATTAGCTGAATAAATACTTGGTTTTGGGCCTGTCGGAATAAACAGTGAAAGCAAACCCTACAGTCACGTGATGGTGAATGGTGTAGCTTGTGAGTGGAATCCGCGTCACGTGATTAGCATCCACCGCTTCTCTGCTGCATGTGCTGCGCCATTGTGGAAGTTAAACAACCGGTGCCACATAAACTTATCCCAAATCAAGACAGTTGAGGAAACAGAAGGCCAGGAATGATCACCCTACTTGCAGTGTAAGCAGTTACGAAACCACCATCGGGATAGGCGGAATTTCTGTGGCTTGGTCGATACAAAGTGTACATCCTGCTCATTCACAGCGAAAAATTCCCCATGGGATATTGATCCCATGTATGAAACCCCATGGCGAAAGCACCACAGGCAAGAAAACTCTGTGTCACTAACTGCATCCGGCGGCTGATTCATATGACGAAGACATGCCCACTTGCATATGAATTTCGAACGTTGGAAGCTGAACAACAGTCACGATTCACTCCGACTCAATCCGGGGTTGTCCAGTGGTCAAATCGATGCCTTCTTTCGTGACCGCAAATGGGTTGAACTGATGTTCACATCGTTGGTAGACCATGTCTTCGAGTTCGTTTGCGCGTGGGAACATAAGTGAATCAGCTAGACGTTTGTTGTATACCGTTTCGTTTGTCACTCAATTTATATGGGGCCGATCACATCAACTTGGGACAGTGTGTATAAAAGCTTAGTTTTGTGTACCATATTTAACAGTGTCGACTTGCGGGCAGAATCGGACATCACCGGAAACAAACAAATTCACTGGAACCGGAACAAACAGGCACCCAGAATTCCGCCATGTATTTTTGGTATATCACTACGATGCGGCTGCATACCCACAAAGAGCTCGAAAACGAGAATGCGTGCTGATGGAAATTCCTAGCATTCTGGTGTTCCCGACGATTCATGAGGTTATCAGATGACAATGGATGTTGAAATAGAATCACTACAGCAACCTAATGCTCCCAAAACTTTATTATTCTTTAGCTGTTAATAGTGTGGAAGTGTCAGGCGGAATTCCACACGGATCCCTCCTTACCACTCACACTCAGGTGCTGCCACGGCCGAAAAGTCCATCCCACGCAAGATTGGCCAAGAATTCGGGACGCTTGCCGGTCCGGCGTCAAGGCGAGATCCGATTGCTCGAAAATCTGGACCCAATAGCCAATCATGAACCAGTATTGGCCAAATGCCGTTGCCAATAGCGCATCCAGAGCGTGTCAAAATTTTCGGAAGGCTATAACCACCTACGCTGTATATACGAAGCGCTGTACTATTGTTCTTGACTTCGTTTTTGGGCATTAATAGACCTTGCGCACCTATGGTGGTTGTTTTGACGTGAACGCTAGCTTAGGAGGCTCAGACCGAGAACTAAGCTGAGAGAAATACCGTTACTACAGAAAGGAACAACTCGAACTTGAGGACAGTCAACTTCCTCCTCATGACTATCTCAAGACAAGGGACTGTGCTCCTGCAGACGGGTGTATCCCATGACTGTCCGCTGTTTGATCTCCTACTGTACTTTCAACAAGCGGGCTACCAACCCAAGTCCCGGTGATGAAACTTTGACAATGCATGAGTGAATTTTCTGATTGTGTAAGTGGTCCGCCATCCCGGCAAGTCTGTTCCTGTGTAGGTAGAGCGAGAGGACAAATCAGGTCACACAGCACAGCACGGTGAAAAAAACTGGTGGAACCTCTGACCTTAATGTGACATTCGTGTAAGCGTTTGTTCACCTCGACTGAGTTGCACAGCGAGCGATTTGGGATGGAGCAGAAAAGTGTGCTGAGGTGCATTTAAATGCGTACCGGTTTTTACCGACGAAGACCAGGTGCACCTACATCGACTCTGTTCACACTCTAAACCGAACGTCAGAGAGATAAGACCCATATGGGTGTATCTGTCTGGAGGAAAGAAAGTGGAGATTTTAACCTAGACGAAATCGCCACACAGGATAATTGGAATATGAAATATTCGATTACTATGCTCTTTAAATTCTTAACCATCGCATGCCTCTCCCATCGCCATCAACAGCAGAGTCGTTCCGCGCAGCAAGCGTTTCGGACCGACCGGAGTGTTGTGGCCTGATGACGTGCTGAGTTCTTATCCGTCTAAGAAAAGGCTGCATTCCGATTGGTGTACACAACAGGGGCCGAGATGGCTCAAGTGGTCAGAGCGCGAAGTTACTGACCGGAAGGGGTTCGAACTCGACCTCTGTCTCTCGACTTTTCCTGTTTAAGCTTGGGCAACCTGACAGTATCCAAGCCCTCGTGCTTCCTTCGGATAACATGGTAGCTAGGCGCCGCAAGGGTGTTACAGCTGAACGATACACAGCAGGACGGGCAGTCCGAGCGTGAACACGATTACAACAACTCTGGGCATAGATATTTGGAGAATACGGTTGATCATCCAGCAGAAACAGTACAGCAATCACACTCGGGGACAGACGAATTAAAAAGGATGACAGCGGTCGAGGGTGGGAATAAGAGGTAAGCATGAAAATGCAGGCTCAGTGGATTAACACTGGCTTTCAGAATAATACCCCCTTTTAATGAGTCTCTAAATCCCATGTGAGAATTTTCAGCCACATTGGAAAGGCTAGAGGCAAACTAGAACCAATCCCCAGTGGGATTAACTGCACAACCTGTGTCGAGTCCTCGAGAACTCCCATCTGGAGCCCGTTTGCTCTTAGGTAAATAGTGAATGAATGGAAGCTAACCATTATGAACAAGGATGAAAATAGTGGGTGAAGATCTCATTTTTCGAGAAATACATTCATTTGCAAATCAATTTGGTTTTTACGAGAGGCTCAACTGAATCTCTCGTTTATGATATTCTACAACTGAATGTGCTGCACACAGGCCGCCTCATGTTTCAGTTGACAGGATATTCGAGATATCGCAGTATATTTTCATAAAGGAAACTACTTACAAGGTTGCTGAAAACTCTTCGACAGCCCACGACCGGTTTTGCACTTCTTGGGGCTCATCAGGTAGGCGCAGTCCCCGAGTTTCCGTCAGTTGAGTCTCTCGTGAGAACCAAATTGATTTGCTTTGATTTCTCGAAAAACGGTCCAATTTGGGTCCAAGTAGAACATAAGGTTGACGAAAACTCAACGACTGCGCCTACCTGACGAGCCCCAAGAAGTGCGAAACGGGTCGTGGGCTGTCGAAGAATCTTTAGCAACCTTGTGGGTAGTTTCCTTTATGAAAATCTTATTTACTTCATCACAACGTAATGAATGGTCCAAGTTGGTGATTTGGGTTAAAACACGTACAAACAGTAGTGATAATTTGTGAAGGGAAACTGAATTGATTGGACTGTAAGTTAAAGAGGTTTTTCGAATTCGTACAAAAACTCCATCGTGTGTTTGACAGTCATCGAGTATGAGATCAGTCTATTCAGCTTCTGTGGGCAAAATGCCAGGTGGAACAAGTTTGACCATTAGATAAAGGAAGCTGTTCTGAGCTCTCAATCTTGCAGTGGACCATAATCTGCTGTTTACTCGAGGAAATCGGCAATCCCAGCTAGTCGGTAACGAAGAGTTCAAGTGGAAGCTGCTCAATGAAACTGGTGGTAAGCTACTATTTTAAAGCCTGATCACACCGTCCTGCGGTATGGAAATAAAACGCCGCTAAAACCAAGATCTAGGTTAATAAATCTGCCACCCAACCTATTTCACTTCAATCTTGCGAAACCTATTAGACGTGTTTCGGACGCCTGTAAGATCGAAATTGGCCACTATCAGTGCGTGGGTCACACTTTTAGTGTTTATGCATGTGCCATAGGAAGAGGTCCGATATTGAGGTTGCGACATCGCTTGGCTTGAGAAACTAACCCATGGACTGGATATATCCTTCGCCGTCTAAAGACCAATAAAAGCAAAACAGTCCTTGATGCAAAACTGGACTTTCAGCCCAGATAGCTGGCTAAAAAAACTGCATTGGCACTATCCAGTCTGATATGTAGTGTGTCGGTTTGCAGGCCGTCCACGGCCTGCCTCAATGGGGAACCAACATTGGATCGACATCTGAGAAAGCCTTGAAACCGATAGCCGTGCATGGACGGGCACGATTTGTGACGTTCCAAAAAGATCTACACTAATTAAACAATGTGTGTTTTTCTATCGATTATCTGGGTACAAAATGAGCCATAAGGAGACACCATTTACGCGTACTTAATTTCCTGTGATGTCTTTCATTAGTGATCCGTCAAAATGAAGCAAGCCTTCAAGTTCGTTCAAAAGTACGACCTCGGCAACATTCCATTTGTCAAAGGGACTTTACGACGGCGCGTTCGTCACCTACCAGCGAGACCAGCCGCTATCGAAACGATTGCAAGTGGGCTAGTGTTGGTGGCAGATCGAACAATTACAAATCTGCATAGTCGAGCTGAAATAAAGCTAAATTCAATTCCATGGTTCTTAAAAAAACACTCTTGGAGATGACCAAGCGGGGTATGGAAAGGTATTCCATGACAGTAGGAACAATCCTGAATTATCAAGCTTATAGGAAACACTTCGAAATGCGGGTGTATATTGAAATTTCACGACAATTCACCCATGCTTGACAAGATACACTGGAAGCCTGGTCGGGTGTCTGATTAATTTGTGGAGGGGTCTGGGACTATGAGAAAATAGACACTTCTGAGAAGTGGTACTTGTGAAGGTTCAAATACTCAGTTGACCAAGATATAGGCTGACAAGTAGTACCGTTTTGCGCTCAGTTTTCATATTCATATGTGAGGTTGTAGGACTTGTTTGTCTAAGACAGGGATCTTAGATACAAGTTATAGCAACCGAACTCTAAACACAAAGTTGGCATCCATCTGTGAGTGAAAGAAGATGTAGTAGTCTTTCTCAAACAGTTAAGGAGAGGGTGACGGCAAAACAGCAAATTCAGCACCCTCTGGGTATTTCGCATGAAGATCTATAAATCATGGACGATAGCAAATACGCTGCAACATAGCACAATGATCACCCATAGTTGTTTGGGCAACCAGTAGGCCGACTGTCATGGTAGCATAGGGGTGGAAAGCAGAAAGTTAGTGAAATTATCGTCAAATGAGTGAGTATGTTGAAGACTGAAGTGAAGCTAGATTTATAGAGAAACGCAGGTGGGATCCTGACGAGATTATGCTTGCTTAGGTGATCTAAACCACCTTTATATACGGGGCAAAGTCTATATGCTTGTAGTGTACCGGAATTCAGACAAGTATAGTCACAGAAAACTTGGGGATTTCAAGTCATCGTTCAGCTGGCTAATAGCAGCAGGTTAGGAGGAAAATAGCACTGACAATGTTACCTGGAACATGGGATATGAGCGCGCAAAGACCGCGCGCAATCGCCCAACTGGTATAAATGGTAAAAAAGGTTAACTTACTCACCTTTACCTAAATGGATTCGTGTTATGGCCTCCGCCAGCATCATTTGGCCACACCTATGCATACAACCCCAGCGAGTATCTGAAGTCGGTCCACTTTGTGTGACAATGGGAGGAAAGTTCTTCCTATATGTCATCCAAAACAAGGAACGAAGCCTTTCCGCAATCCTATCGCGATCTGGTCAGATAAGACAAGGGAAAAGCGGGAGCGGTAAGATACAAAGGGTTGCAAATCTCTACCGCATGTAACAACACGTGGGTCTTAATATCAAGAGGGTAGCTTACAAGGGGACGTGAGCCTATTGGGATGAAGATAGACAACTCTGCTCGGAGCTGTAAACTACACCAAACTCCCATAGTTTGGACGGTCGTACTCCTCCTTTTGAGATAAAATATAGTAGTTACAATACTGATTGACACAGAGTTTATCACACGTCCCTTACACCCTACGGTCTATAAGTAAACTGACTTGTCCCATCAGTTTGGACCGAATAAAATGCGGCCAGGACGACGGTCGCCGAACTTCTGGATCTGTGCTTCAAAATCTACTTTGTGTACAATGGAGAGGAGTATGAACAAATCCAAGGGTGTGATATGTGGATGACATAGTTGTTATTATAAAGAATGAACTGTCATGAGCAAAAGACCGTTCAGCTGTAACACCCTTCCGGCGCCTAGCTACAATGCCACCCGAAGGTAGCATGAGGGCTGGGCTGCTGCCAGGTTGCCCAAGCCTAGACAGGGGAAGTTGCGAGGCAGAGGTCGAGTTCGAACCATGGACATTGCGGTCAGTAAATTAGCGCCATCGCGCCCCCGTCACGAGCAAACCAAATGCTGAACAAGAATTTCCCGACATCCACTTTGCAGGAGAAATGGAAGAGGACAACAAATTGACTTCTCTACATGTGCTCATTACAAGAACAACAGATGGCAAACCGCAAACAGGAAAGAAACGCACGGGGACCAGACTGTGAGCTAGTTCAGTAGCAACCAAAACTGGCACAAACGAAGTTGTGTTCGAACCTTGTTCAAGCGAACAGAGACACACTGCAACACAATAGAGTATTAAAAAAAAACGAAAAAACGGCGGTTACCAGGTGCTCCAAAACAATAGCTACCCGAGGAACTTCATATGGAGATATGGAGACTAGTTTGTTAACACAACCGATGAGATAAGAATTACGCTATTGTATAGCAAAAGCGTCACGGAAATGACTGTACGAGATTTAGGACGAGCGTGCAAACAAGTTGAGAAGAACCCTCTCGGAACCAAAAGAAAGACTGGATGCAATGAAGAAGAAAAATCTCGACTGAGACAGTCTGTTGCATGCTGGAGTCCACAGACCATCTACAACCTGAGCCAATTGGTGTTAGAGAGATTTTGACCACGCGTGGGTAGCCGCTACGCGAGATATCTGCGAAATCAACTTAACCTCCGACACGACCTTTGAATTAGGTGGTTTCACAATATTGTTATGTTTTACAGCACCCCGGACGGTAAGAGCGAAACACTGAAAACTTACCCTTCATAGCATCGAATTTATCACCAAAAACGTAGACTGGTTTTTCTGAATTTGGTAGATAAGGGTGATCCGGAGCGGAGTTGGCATAGGTAAAAATAGCTGTAAGCCAATCACGTGACGAAACTATATTTACCCTCCCAGTGGCTGTCCATTGCCGAAAAAATCAGTGGAAATTACTTAAAATTGTAATAGATGCGCGAAAGGGGAGTTAAGTTTCCTGTAAATAAAAAATCAAGCTTGGTTACCAGGATCCAATAGGAAATGCAATGCTGACCAAAGACTCAAAGTGTTAATACTGCTGTGCGCTTTCAAAGTCTGTCTTCAAGTTTCCACGATCCGAAGCAAATAACACTGTAACGCACGAGGCTCGCGAGCACTACCACCTTATGCGTGTGCGTCATGAATTTCTCCTTGTCACGAGTACTTTTGCGGCGCATCAGCTACGTGATCCAATAAAGAGCTCATCAAAATGTCATTGTACTTCTGAGTCATAAGCCTCAATTGATCGTCACCATTGACAGTAATACAAGCGAACACTCATGTTCACCATTGTACAGGCATGTCGAACCTTCAGCAGTGGTTTGCTTAGTACCTTCCGTTAATGCGTTTGGTTGATTGGAGCACACTAGAGTGGTGAACAACCGAAGCTAGCGCTACGGTCATTTATGTCAATAACCAATGCTTGAAAACTATGCATTGTGTTAGGTAGGCTGAGTATCCATACCGTCTCATACCTGAAGCAATCCCGTAGCGATCACTGTATTCGAGTAGGATATTTAAAATCAACCCAAACAAGATTGTTACTCGATTCCGAGGTGGTCATTAGCACATCAACGAAGAAATAGTCTGCTCTCAACCTATATCCATGATACCAACCCGAACAACTGCGTCATGCGGCGTGAAAAAGTCTGCTATGGAACTGGGTGGTAAAGGTATAAAACGAACGCTCCGTGACATGCGTTCCCTCAGTAATGAGGATCCAACAGTTGCATGCACCTTATCTGTGGATAAAGCATTACATGCTGCTACAAGTGATAACGTCTACCAGAAAGAACGTCGTCGAATGGTCTGTTTTGACAAGGCGTCACTGATTCTTCGTCGTCTTACGGTGGCACGCGAAGCCTTGACTCGTGGGAATCTTCAAAACTCCAGCGTTCAAATTGTTTCTGGTGAGAGGCTTGCCGATCTGGAGTACGCAGATGACATTGCCCTCATCTTTGAAGACCAAAGCGAAGCACATCATCATCATCATCAAAGACAGCAACATCAGTGTTGCCACTGATGCTTCACTGCCGTTGAATAGAATGACCACCATCATACCGTTTTTTTTGGCATGCGCCTTGCACCTTCAAAGTGTAAAGTCACGCTTCAGAACGTGAAGTCTGTGAACATATCCATTACAATTCAAGGAGAATCACTGGAGATTGTGGAAAACTTTAGATACCTCGGTAGTTGTATTACCTCTGAGGGAAGTGCGTCTCATGAAGTCAGTGCAATAATCTCAAAGGTTCGAATCACGTCTTGCTAATTTGCGTCACTAGTGACGTCAAATAGGCATTTCACTAGATCCTAAGAATCGTGTGTACCAGGCTACAGTAAGGGCTATGTTGTTGTTGTATGGGTGCGAGACATGGTCTCTGAGGACAGATGATGTGAGGTGTCTTCAGGTTTTCGACCACCGATGCCTCAGAAGCGCGGCTGGCTTTGGATGGCGTCAGTGTTGGTAACCAGGTGACTAGAAAACGGGAATTTGGTTGTGCTGCAGGTACTTCAATTCGGGAAAACATCCGGCATCATCGACTACGATGGCTCGGTCATGTGCCGAAACACCGCCGTGAAAGAGATCACAAAGAGTTTGGGTGTTGTTGGTGTTGTACACCTTCCAGGATGAGGTGCCCGTGACCCCGTCTGTGCTTGGCTGGAGACGTTGCAAGAAACGGCGGCTAATCGACGTCAGTGGCGTTCGTGCTGTCAGTTTCGTTACAGATCGTCTGGTTGAGTGGTTGGAGTTGTAGGCACCTCAGAATGGTTGGCATAGGCCAGCACTAGGTCCCCTTTCTCACCCACTCTTTTCCACTTGGTTTCACTCTAGGGATTTAAGTATAAGTAGACGAACCTCATGGCTGTACGGCAGTGAAGCATCAGTGCCAACAGTGATATTGCCGTCTTTGATGATGATGTGCCGGCAAAAGATTTCCACACCAACGGCTCAACCACAATACCGTGGGAAACCAAACGTTTGGAATGTGGTGCTGGATCTGACAAGGCTTTATCAATATCAATTCTGGTCTAACGACCAGAAGTAGCACGCAATTCTCCCTCGAACTCCTTATGAATGTAGTTTGCAGAGAAATTGTCCCCGCGGTTCCGCGCCAAAGGCCTTCCTGTAGTCCATGGATATCAAAAAGGGATATCACTGGGTCTCAAGGTTCACGTGTACCAGGTTCCAGTAAAGGCTGTATTATTGTATGGTAGCGAAACATAGCCTATGAGGACAGAACATATAAGGCGTCTTCAGGTTTCTGACCACCGGTGCCTCAGAATCGTTACTGGTGTCAGATGACATCAACGGATTCGTAGAGATAATCATAAAACGAGTATCTGGTTATGCAGCAGGTACTTCAATCGCGGAAAACATTTAGCAACACCAACCACGGTGTCTGGGCTGTACTGTACACGCTTGCCTTCAATTTTTAATTCAACTTATCAGCTATTAGCCGTGTACCGTAGGCACATTGGTTCCAGTTGCTACAGTTACGATCACCGTGGCAATGTGGGACAAACAACCAAGCCTTGGAGGCGAAGCCATGTTCAATTTGTTCGTAATTGAGTAGCTGCGCATTGAAGGCGATAGTTTTGATGCACGAGCGTTACTGACTGCACGATTGCGCCATCCCTATCAGTGTCATTAACCATTGGTGATTTAAGTCCCGGGGTCTCCATCCAGGGAGGCGGGAGTTGCCCACTCGACTAAGTTTACTGTTTAGTACTTCGTTGCCAGGTCATACACTGTCCACCTCTCGGTCACTTCCATTCAGCACAGGACTGGGAAAGAAGACCTCTGTGAGGCAGACGGTCTTCTGGCATGCGGAGTACATGACCTAACCTGCGCAACCTACGAAGTGTGAGTAATGCATCTAGCTCGGGAGAGTTTCTTCTCCACAAGCGTTCAGCTGTAACACCCTTCCGGTGCCTAGCTGCCATGCTACCCGAAGGAAGCACGAGGGCTGGGATACTGCCAGGTTGCCCAAGCCTAGACAGGGGAAGTCGAGTGGCGGAGGTCGGATTCGAACCACGGACCATCCGGTCAGTAAATTCGGGCTCTAACCACTTGGGCCATCTCGCCCACAAGAACATCTGGCGTACCTCAGCAATAATAATCCGATGTTCCCACCAGACTTGACCAATGCTTCGGAGACACCGATGGTCAAACACTAACATCTTCTGTATGTACTCTGCGCGTAGGGGCAATGTCTCTGATCCGTAAAGCAATATGGATAGGAGCATTGCAGTGTAAACTCTTCCCCTGACAGGCAAATTCACGTCACATCTGCGCCATAGGTGTAAAAGAAAAAGATAATAGTCCAACCGTAACATCCTTTCGGTGCCTAGCTGCCATGCAACCTGAAGGAAACACAAGGGCTGGGATACTGCCAGGTTGCCCAAACCTAGACAGGGAAAGTCGAGAGGCAGAGGTCGGGTTCGAACCACGGGCCTTCCGGTCAGTAACCACTGGGTCACCTCGCCCCCATAGTGTCGGAGGTTGACAAAAACTGCCCCGGCCTTTCCAGTTCGAGAAATAATCTCAGCTCCAGCCAGTCCATTGAAACTTATACAGCTGCCCAGGTAAAAAAATTTATCTACCACGTCGATTGGCTCATCCGCAAGCATAAGTTGTGGGTTTGATCCCACCCAATCTTGTTGCAGCAATTTACACTGTGAAGCGCATGCCAAACCAAGCAGCAGGATTATTTATGTTTTTTAGAATCGTTTGCATTTGGGAAGGATCTGAACCAAGGAGAGTAATATCTTCTGCATACACAATGTCTGTGAGGGAACGTCCCGGGAGCATTTCGACCCTCGAGGTTCCAGAGGCAGGCAGAGAAATTTCGAGCAGCATATCAATGACAAAGTTGAAGAGAAAAGGAGAAAGAGGACAGCCTTGCCTTACACCATTAGACATGTTGAACTCAGGCGAGAGTTTCCCGTATATTCGTACGACAAGTACGCGGTTCTTACGGCTGATAATGTTGACGATACTCGTAGGCGCTCACAGGAGTTCGCATACAATGCTCTCATGAGAGATAGAGGTTTGGAAGGGACACCTTTGATCGCCAGACACTGCCAAAGTTGCTGACGACCGACAGAATCACAAGCAGCCTTCAAATCCGTAAAAATGACCAAAGTGAGACGTCTGAAGGAGTGGCGCTGTTCAAGAAGTTGTCTCAAGGTAAAGATATGGTCGATGCATCATCGACCCGAGCGAAAGCCTGCTTGATTCTCACAAATCTCTCTCCCGATAATCCATCTACTTGCAAAAAAAGAATGCCAGAGAACAACTTAGATGCGACGGATACCAGGCTGATACAAAGATGGTTTTCACACTGACATCGATCAGCCGCCATTTCTTGCAACGCCTCCAGCCAAGCACAGGTGGGGTCACGGGGATCCCATCCTGGAAGGCGCACAACACCAATGACATCCAAACCCTTCGTGATTTCTTTCAAGCCCTTCTGCCAAGTTATATGTTGTCCAGCTCGCGGTTTGCGCCACTCTGATGAGGGTGTTGAAGGAGACCATGTGAACTGTTCTTTAAAGTGCTCCGCCCACCGCTCAAGACGGTGATTGAGGGAGTGATTTGGTGTTTCATCTTTTTCGCATATTGTCTCACTGACATCTGCCTTCTGACCAATTGATCGAATCACTTGAAACAGGGCGCAGCTGTTACCTGTAGCGAAAGCCTTCTCCATCTCATGAGCCTTTGAAATCCACCAGCGTTCCCCATCATTCTTGAAGCTCCTGATCATCCGGCGTTTGAGGGATCAGCGTGCGTCACCATAGTCGCTAGTTGCTGGTATGGCCTTTCTGGCAACAATAAGATCTGGTGATCTCGAAGATATCCCGTGTTCATTAAATCGAGTCAGATTGGCTGGACAAAGTTATGAAAGCCCACAACATTTCTCCTTTAACTCGCCTCCGGTCATCCTTCGAGCAATCTTCGTCGTCCACATGACTGTGCGTTTCCGGTAGCTTCCTAGCCATATCAGCTCGATACTCACCAGCTACTTAAGCTTGTTGAAGTTGATGAACGGAGCTGCTCCCTTTCGGCATGCGTAGTGCTGGCGGAAAGCGAAGTGCTAAATGGGCTCGCACGATGGCGTAACCAGAGTCAAGTTGCGTACCCAAGAGGGAACGACAATCCTTAACTAGGGCTCTCCATCGGTAATTGATAGCCATATGGTCGGATTGAATCTACGATTGTCTTGTGGTAGGTAGCCTCCAAGTAACTCGGTGTGAGCGTTTGTGTTGGAAGTTCGTACTGGCCAGGAAAAGACGATGATCTAAATATAACTGAAGAAGCCGCTCCGACTACAAATCTACTACTTAACTGCGCTTTTCCAGGGCTTAGTCGTCTAAATTGGGCATTCATATCACCCACAAGGAGTACTATATCCGCCCTTCTTGCCGACCGAAGCAGTCGTGACAGATCTTGATAAAACTCGTCCTTGTAAGTCTCAGAACTGCTATCTGTTGGGGCGTATGCTGATACGACCGCATCGATCTGCGTCATACAACCGCGCAGCGCAAAGGCGACTGTTCACTGGGACCCAGTCTAGTAAGGCATTTCAGCCTTGGGGCTGAGTGCAACCCCACACCATAGATACCACGAGCCACTGCGTCAGGATCACCGGACACCTAAAGAGGGAAATGTGGAACATATGGGATCGTCCTAAAAGGCTTGAAGAGCACGAGTGAAGTAGGGTCTTGTATGCGTGTTTCAGAGATACAACACCGATAGAGAAGGAAGGTAAGGTTTTAGCAAGGGATGCCTGTTGCCCAATTTGACATAGAATAGGGGCATTGAAGGCTGCGACGTAAATCAGATCTTTTGAGGCTAGTAGGTGATTATTTTGGTTTATTTTGCTGGGCGATTGTTGGTAGACGGGTTGACTGTAATGCATTGTACGAAGGGTCGGGAGGGAATGCGGGAGAAAACCGGTGAACGAAGAACTGCAAACGTAAATGATACTTCCCGGTTGCCCAGGCCGAAGAAGGGGGTTTAGTTGAGGTACCCTATCTTGAGCCTTTAATTCAAAAGTTTGACCCACAAGGCAGTGGGAGGATGTAGGGTTTTGTTCGGGGACTCTGACTCAAGAGACTGAACCGCGAGACAGCGGTAGTTAGGGTTTCCTAAGGGAAACCCTTCCGGAGCTAAGGACTCAACAGTCTGACCCAGTCAGTTGTAGGGAGCCGGCCTGGTCCTGTTTCACTCCTAGTGCAGCTGCGCACAGCATGTGCTTTTTTAGTAGCACCGGACTCTTTATTTTTAAAAGCATCTCGACCGTATTGAATAATGCGCGGGCAGTCATGGTCAACTGCTGGACGATCGGAGTGTGCAGTTTTCGGGGCCGACCTTCTGTAACCCGTCCTTCCTTGGGGGAAGGCGGCACCGCTGCTTCCATAAATATGGACATACTGGCCTCCTGGTGGAAACGCCTTACTGCCTTTACACTATCGAAGATGACAGTACGACTTTACCTCCATGCCGCCTCGTAACATCATTACTCGCAGTATGGAAACTCGTTGTTATTCGTCGAGTTGCTCCCCGTTTGCCTTTCTGGCATGGCTGAATCTTTGGGAACTGAGTTCAAGGCAAGATAGCCCGCAGGATCATTGCAGCACAGAAGCCAAACCACCACAAGGTAAAAGCTTTGGGTTGGGAAACTTGAGGCAATGCAAGAAATGGTGGCTAATCGACGTCAATGGGATTCGTGTTGTCAGTCCTAATCAACAAGCTCAAGCTGCCCATCCAAAAATACATTGATTATTCTCCCAATTATCTGTTAGAGAGCTGAAGCTAAGCCACTCTGTCGAGCGAGAGTGTCCCCGCAACTACTGGTGGTGGCTGGCGAGTGAAACAACTTGGATTAAAAGATAAACAGAATCTCATGTGAGCCGACAGCACTTTCATATCAACAACAGAAAGAAGCGTCAGAAAAATGGTACAGCTATAGCACCATTTCAGTGCATAGATACTAGGATCCCCGAAGGAAGCACGAAAACCAAGATAGCGC